TATATATATATCGTCACAAACAGAACTGTTCGGTAAAACCGTAGGCAGAGAGAGAGAAGAGGACAACAAACGAGGGGCTGTGACAAACTATGTTACCGAACGTACACGTACGGGGCCTTTCCGTATGAAACGTACAAATAATATCTGTGCGGGAACTTGTACGCCCCCGTACGACCCGTACGGAAAAAAAAAAAAAAAAAAGGGCATCCAAAAAATCCGAAAACAATATATGTGATGTAACATCCCAAAACAAGCAACATTTGCCCGAGCACCATCTGCAGATTCTTATTAGAAGTGTAGAAAAAAAATAACAACGGTAAACAGAAATTAAAAAAAGTTGTACGGGTCTTGAGTACAAGCAGAGTACAAAAAATGAGTACAACTTGTACTCGTACGGGGGTGAGTACGAGTCCCAACGTAGATATATATATATATATATATACAGGGTAACCGGCGTTTGGGACGGGCCGAACGCCCGAACCCAAACGCCCGAACGTGAGGCACCCCTTGCGGATGCGTTCGGCTTTTCAGGCCGAACGCGGACCAAAAAAAAAAAAAAAAAAACAAATCATTAAAAAAATCTGAAAAAAAAGATATGTTATGGAGAAAAATAAATTAAACAAGATTTACCCGAGCATTACATGCGAATTCCTTATCAAATTCGAAATCAAAGAAAAATAAAGAAAACAAATACTAATAATAAAAATAAATAAAAATAAAAAGAGAATTAAATTTAGTGAGTGCGCGAGCATGTTTTCGACACCACAATCTTTGGCGATTTTTCGTTTTGTTTTGGCGTAGCTAAATGCCCTGAAAATTTACAGATGTGTACTTCACATGCCTTCAAAATTTACAGGCCTGTACCTCACGTCACAGAGAACTCACGAAAAACATGCCTGTAAATTTTCAGATGCCTGTAAATTTTCACCCAGTCTTTCCCGAAATCAAATGCCTTCAAAATTTACAGGCATGTACCTCACGTCATAGAGAACTCACGAAAAAACAATTCAGAAAAACATAATTATTTTTAAGCCCCGAAATAATTTTTGGCGGCGGCCGAACGCCGTCGGGTTCGGACCCCGCACGGGACCCCGAACGCCCGTACGTACGGAGGTCTGCCCGGGGACCTCCGTACGTACGGGCTGGTGACCCTGTATATATATATATATATATACATATATCGTCACAAACAGAACTGCCCTGTAAATCGTAGGCAGAGAGAGAG